TGTTTAATGACCCCATCTTGCTCCTGCCTTGTGCTTTGCAAGCAGTTTGATGCTAAAGACACTGCCTGGCTCAGAGGGCATCCAAGAGGAGACACCTCTGCCCAAGAGCCTTGGCAAAGCACGGCTGTCTGAACATGCAGGGAGATAAGAGGTTGTGGGGATTAGTGAGGATTAGGGGTGTTTCTAGGAGGGGTAGTGGGAAGCTGCTTCTTGAACTTTGATCTGACATCTACATATATGTGTTGTGAAAACAAGCCCTGGAGAATGATAGTGGTATCATTAAGGAACACTTTTTTTCCCCGTCAACATTTCTCTCCCTATTTTTCATCAGTTATTTAAGTTTTTTTTTATTACTACCACCATTTTCATTGCTGTTGTTTCTTCATACTTTTATCTGGTTTTCCCCTAAGATTCATCTGAAATGAGCTTGCAGAGTGAGTTTTGCTGTGGTTACTTATTTTTCATCCCATTTTGACTAATCATTTGACAAAAGTTAACTAAGATTGTGCCAATCTCCTTTTTAAAGTGTTTGACAGAGGTTAAAGTTGTTCTTGCCTGATTTCTCTTTACAGGATATAGGTGGGGGCCCCTTGAGGACTCACCCTCACCTGCCATCGATGCAATTTGTTTGATGCTTTAATTTAGTTAGCTGCTCCATCAGCTAGATGCTGACGGAACAAATGTGGGTTCATTGTTACTGGTCTGTTTATGACCTCCAGGAGCTCAAGATGAAGATGCCCTATGTATCTCACGACAGCTGATTAGGTTAAATGAGCTGTGGTCTTTGTAGGCCTTTCTGTTTGAGTTCTTGAGGTAACAGTTTCTTTTCCTTTTTTTTTTTTTGGTTGGTTTGTTTTGTGGAACAAAATAATTATTCCCCATTCTTAGTACCAAAGAGGTTATTTGCTTTTTGCAGCTATGTATCTAAAAGTAGTTCTGCTGAGCCTGCTCTTAACTAAGTCTGGCTTTTTACAGGTTTGTGTTTTTAAAAACCAGTTCCCATAAGCAGGAATTTGGCATGATAACAATGTATAACGTAGATATTAAAAAAGCTGTTAAATTGGGTAGCAGTGGAACAGCTGAAAATCTGCCTTCTACTGTGACCAACGTAGGTGGGGAAACGGCCTCATTTCGTTTTGTTCTGGAGCCAGAACAGTCAGCACAGAACCTCTGACCTTGGGAAGAGGAAGGGGTCAGTCTTAACAGTGCTGTGAGAAACCCCTTGGACTGAATAGCCAGAAAACTTCAAGTTAACTTTTCTTTCTTTTCCATGGGTTTGGACCCAAGTAAGGGAGTGAGAATGAAGTTGAGATTGCAAAACTGTTTGCAGCCTTATGTGAATGGGAGGGCTGTGCAGCTGTTCTCTGCCGTATGATTTGCATTACTTCTGCCATGCTGAGCTGGGTTAGCAAGCATGGGGGGAAGAAGAAGGATGGGTGGACGGACTTACAGCCTGCTTAGCTCCTTTCCTTCCACTTCTGGTAAATACGTCCCTACTCAAGCGGTTGGCTTATTTAGCAGTGCTTTCCACCTTTGTTAGTGTTTGTGGAAGACTCATTCTCATTGTCCAGTGAAGCCTTTAGGGTCAGTAGATTGGAGGTTTTATCACTTACATTTAAAAAAACCATACCCTATCAGTAAAGTCAATGTACAGATGTTCACTGCCTGGATTTGAAGGACTGTGCCGTTGAAATGAGGTAACTGGCAATACTTTTGCAGTAGCCTGGAAACTAAAAAATGGGGAGCTTTTATCCTGAAATATATATGCATTAAGAGTTGAATTGGTTAATTTCTTTCCTATGTATGTTTCAGCTCTCTGAAGATGTAGTGAACCGAATGAAAGAATCTCCTCAAAGTAAAAGGGACAACCAGAGATCACCCCGTTCATCCAATGGCACAGCTCCATCTTCACCAGCTGCAGAAGGGAAACCAAAATCTCCTACAGGTACTGTAGGAGTCCCTCTCAGGTCTACTGACTGTTTTGACACACTTCTCGGTAGTGCTGCCACTGGATGTTAAGTAGTATGCTTGTATCTTTTCAAGACTACCTTGTTGTGAGAGGAGCTCTTTGATTAGCCTGTGACACTTTTATGTGCATAGGTATCAGCATAACTGAATGCCTTGGATATTACGGTCCTGTGATGACATCTTTATGTTTCTGAAAGGTAGCCATGTCACCTGGCAATTGGAGAAGTTGAAATGCTATGGTTCTAGTTCTGTCGCTGTGTGACCTTAAGTAAGACAACTTGTTTTTCTAGATCCTTTCCTTCTCCACCTTTGGAATACCACCCTTCCCAGATACTTTAATGAAGTTGTATTGCTTTGTGAACGCTTCTAGGATTTTAGATCAATGTGCAGTAAGCAAGGCAGAAATTTTTTATTTTATCTTTCATTCCTGGCAAGCTGACTTGTTGTCTCCTTTCCATGCACAGGGAGTATATTGTGGATGGGTGGGGGAAATACTGCTTTTTGTTCTTTGGGTATAAGCTCATAGGGAAGGATAGACTTACTAAGCACAGCTTTCCAAGTGGATGGTGAGAGCTTGGTTTCTGAACTTACCTTTCTTTACAGGTCAGAAAACTATTTGGTTTCTCTTGGTTCTCAAATATACTTTGTTGATAAATGTTATCAGTGTGGATTTGTTTAAGGCATCCAGACTAACATGAAGTTAGGGAACCAGGCCTTCTCTGTTAAAGATTTGTTTGCTGTTAGCCTACATCTTTCCTGAAAGTGGATTCAGCCTTACGGATGGCCTAAACTCAGTCAAATAATTTCATGTCCACTTGTGGGATCCCTTGTAACTACCAGGAAAATCAGGATAGGAGATCAATGGGAAGACTTAATGGAACTACAGGAAGGAAGTGGGAAGTAGGATTAAAACCGTGCTTATGTTTCAGTATAAACCAGGGGTTTGAGGTGTTAACATCCTTACCTAGAAGTTTCTGTAACATGCCTTGTTCAGTGTGCCTTGTTGAAGACGATGCTGTCAGTATCTCTGTTTCATGAATTCAAACTCCATCCATCGAATCTAAATTTTCTTGAGACTTTTCTAAGTGTATTGTTTTTTTCTCTTGATGAGCTAACACTCACATGTGAAATACTCTCCTCTTCTCAAATAACTTATGATGTGATGAAGCACTGTGTTTTGTATTATAGTTGTCACAGGTTTCTGTTCTTCTTTCTAGGAATCCAGCCACCAATGCCAGGTGACTCTGGTCAGAAGTCTTCTGCTGCAGAGCAGGAACTGTACAGGAGGTGAGGTGAAGTTCTTGAAGAAGACAATAGTTTAGCTCCTTTTGGACCATATATATGTTTTACTTCAGTCTGAGTGCAATGACTGTATGTTTTAATGCCTGAGAATCCCCTTTGAAGCCTCTTTCAGTTAAGGGCCATGGAACACAAGTGTTTTTTTTTTTTTTTAAGGAAAGCCTGTCCTTAGCCAAAAAAAGCAGTCAGGGGAGCTGTGGGCAATTGGACTGGTGTTTGGAGAAACAGGGAGGACCAATGTAAAGAGCTGGTAACTACAGAAGTCTTGCAATGCACATGCCACACAAGTTCAATAGAGCATAACCTTGAGTACAGTGCCTTTTCTGGGGCGAGTGTAGGAGTCTCTGTCTGATACTTCCCTTAGGGATTTTGGAATCTCAAATATGGTGATGGGTTTAATTCTATTTGTACCTAAAATAATTGGATCCATCTTATGTATCTGATTCCATTCCTCCTCCTTCTCCTAGACTGGACATAATGCCTGTCAGCCAATATAGAGTGCTATGGATTTTTCATCGAAGGGTATTTTAATTTATTAAGATAGAAATACCTGTGAAGATGGGGTAAGGGTGAGAAAAAAATTGCAGAAGAAAACTGTCCTCTTCTCTTTGTCAGAACCACAGCAATCTCCTAGTTCTCGGCATTGCAAGGCAGTGAGAACTTCAGTTCTGTGTAACTCAGTAGCTTTCTGTTATAAAACTACTGGTCTGATCTATCTGTGTGTTCTTAAAAACGCTGTAAAGATCGGTCTTTTCCTGTTAACAATGAAAAGCAGTCTCTGTGTGTGGTGTTTTTTTTAATATTACAGCTGACTGGCCAAACCTGTTGAAACAAAACCCTGTTGCATCAATCACACTGTCCTTAGGAGAGTCAGAGATGCAACCAAGAAAGTCTCTGGAAAGCTGGTTCACTTTCTTGGGAACTGTGGAATTGAAATTGCTGGCAGTTTTCAGTGCTGAGCTACTGAACTGGATCCCAAATATCTGATCTGGGAAAGGAGAGGTAGAGGTAGAAATGCAGCAGAAAGGTAAGCAGGGAAGACAAGAAAGGGAGGAGCAGCTTGTATGTGTGTGGCTCAACTGTGGAACCAGAACCAGATCTGGATGGGCTGAAGTGCACCCTGAGAAAGTTTGTGGATGGCATCAAATTGAGGGAGTGGTCACTGCTCTGTGGAGGGCAACATTGCCACTCAGAGGGACCTTGGCAAGCTAGAGGCATGGGAGAAGAGAGGCTGAGGGAGCTGCATTGGCTTAGCCTGGAGAAGAGGAGGAATCTAACCATTGTTTTCAACTTCCTGGAGAAGAGGAGGAATCTAACCATTGTTTTCAACTTCCTAAAATAGTAAAATAGAGACAGTGCCAGACTGTTCTCAGGGGTACACACTGAAAGGACAAGAGGCAAGGGACACAAATCACAGCAAGGAATTCTGCCTGGGTATTGTGGGGGGAGAGGGTGGCAGAAAACCCCAGTTAGTGAGTGCAGTGAAGCACTGGAACAGGTTGCACAGGAGGGATATAGAATCTCCACCGTTGGAGATCATCAGATGTTGACTGGAGAAGGCCCTGCGCGACCTGATCTAACCTTAAAGTTAGTTCTGTTTTGAGGAGGAGGCTGGAATAGATGGCCTTCAAAGGTCCCATCTAACCTAATTTATTCTGTGATTCACAGATTCACTGTTAATCTCTCTTTGCTTGCATGTGGGATTTCCAAGGCTCGAATTGGACAAAATTTCCTTCGTGGCAATCTGAGATTCAGGTGTCCAGGCTATGGACCTGACAAGGCCTCCTCTCAGTGCTGTTGCTGCATGCATTTTGTGTGATTTTCTTTCACTTGTAGAGCAGAAAAGCAGCATTGTCAGATAGGCTAACTCCTTTTATTGTTGTACATCCCTTGATCTTTTCCAAAGCAGTGTCTATTTATCTAGCTAACTACTTTCTATTCTCACTGTTTTCAGGTGATAATTAAATACTTAATAGAGCTAAATATAACTGAAGTATAAGCTTATATAGTGCTAAGTCTGCTGTTGTTGCCAGAGCTGTACTTCACTGAAGCTGCAGGTCATGTTTTTTTTTTCCTGCTGATAATGGAGGGGCTGTGAGCAGACTTCGTGTCAAATAGATTATGGATTTGTGTTTCAGCTCTAGGCGGGGATAGTCCATGCTAAGCCATGACCCTATTGCCAGAAGTCTGCTGATCACCTTCTCTCTGTTTGCCTTTGGTGCTCATACAGGTATGAGCGAGAACAGGCACTGGTCCAAGAGGAGTTGCTCCGGCTGGCCAAAAGAGAAAGGGAAGCAGCCAGCGAGGCCTTGAATACTGCCCTTCAGCGGGAAAGGAACAACACTAACGAAGAGAGGCAGAGAGTGGCCCAGCTGGTGAGTAACAAAAAACTCCAGTATGTTTCCATACAGGACAGGCTAAAATCTCTCTGCTTGAGAGGATTCATTAAATGTCACTTGTGTGACAAGCTTAGAAACTTTAATTTAGGCTGAAGCACTCATCACCTCCCAACTCATCACTTGGGTTTGGCTTACAGTGTAGCTGGCAAGCTATACTTGCAGCGTGTCATTGGTGATGCTAAGGCCAGGCTTGCAGGGAAAGGCATAAGCAATGACTGTGCTGGGGACAGCTTTACCTGTGGCAGGTCAGTGTGGTGTGTATATATGGGGTCATTGTCTGAGCTAGAGAGAACTCTTTTAAACTATCAAGTGTATGCAATGAATGTTTCAATACATACAGGATCAGATTCTGCTGACCTGATCTGTCCTGAAACTTTTCTCCGGTTTTCTAGAGTATAATTGTGCAAATACCCAAATTAATAAAAAGTAATAATGAGTTCTGTTGTTTGAGTCTTTTATGATGCTGGTAGCAGAAGAACTGTTATAAAACTGTCAAGGTTTAACATTCTGAAGAAGGCTTAAGATTGATTTTTAGGACCAGCAAGCATAAACCTCTTCTGTATACACCACTGACTCCCAAATCAATCTGTCCTTGCCCAGTAGGCAGACTTACTTTTGGGGACTTCTTGCTGCAGCCATTACTATTAGTCAGGCACCTTGGTGTTGCCTAACCCTGTTGGGTTGCTGTCATGCCAGTGCTGAGAAGAGCAGTGATGGAGGCAGAAGTACAGTGAGATGAGAGTGAGTAGAGCAAAAGGCTTGTATCACTACAGTAGATTGGGGTTGTCATTGGTGCTTAATATTCACATGATACTATTTTATATTGTTTTGTTTTAAATACTAGCATTACTATGCAATGGTGTACTGCCTGTAAGCAATGCAGAGTCTTACTGGAACTGCCACTTTTTCCTGACCTGCAGTGGTATGAGGTGTAGGGGTGTGATAGTGAGGTGGCACTATGCTTGCCACAGTGAGCTCGAATTGCTTGTTCATTTAGACTGATGTTGAAACTGCTCGTTGAGAGAACTAGACGAAGAGTAATTCTCCTTGCCTGGTACATACTGAAAGGATGGTTTAGGGAGAGGACAGACTTGAGTAATGATGGTCTTTATTGTGTCTCTTCCATCCTACCGATCTGTCGCATGCACTTGATTTAACTGAAGAACCTTTCTATGAGCATGGGTTTTTTTATATGTTGAATGCTAATAGGCATGGCTTACCCAGGCACGTGACTTGGCTGTGAAGCATTTTGAGGTTATAATATGAAGGTATTTTAGGGGGCTGAATAAATAAAATTTGTATAAGAACGGCCATAGTGGTTCAGTCAGAAGGGCCTTCTAGCTATAGCCCATATCTGATAGTCATCCGTAGCAGCTGCTTACAGAGAACATGAGAACAGAGCAGGTGTATAGCAGTATTTCTCACCCGTATACCCTGGCAACTTCTGTGATTTTGGGGCTTAGAAGCTTCTTCGACGAGGTGTTTTCACCTTGGTGGTTAACAGTCCTTGATGAAATTGTCTTCCATGAATATGCCCGTTTATGTTTTTGGACCCATTTGTGCTTTCTGACTCCATGGTGATGTTTGCATGTGGTTGGGTTGGCACGTCTCTGAGATTGCTCTCCTGGATATAAGTTGTGAACGGCTGCTGTGTCGTAGGAAACTTCTTGGCAGATTGTACCCTAAGCACAGGAAGTTGCATGATTGCTGAGCTTTGGAATAGTGGTGTTTGAGGCAGGTGACTGCCGTTCCTCTGCGTAGGACTTCTGGGTCAGCAGATGCAACTCTCTTTCCACTAGAAAGAGAATATTTTCTTTATGAATGCAATTAACGGACTTTTGTAAAGAGGGTGGGGAAGAAGCTAGTGAATTTATTGTCCAATCTAAAGATGTGGTCCGGCTCAGTAGAGCCCTGCCCTCCTGCAGTGAGGTGCAGAGTAATCCTGGAGAAACGTGACTAGCAGAGTCAGGCAATATTTGTGAAGTGTAAAGTGGGCACCTCTAAAATGGGTTGGGACCTGACCTCTAACATAAAAAAGCTGTTCTATTATCTGAATTAGCTTTTAATCCTGCAATGTCACATACCCAGATATTGCATACTTGATGCTCTGCAAAAATCTGATCAGGCTCTCCTTGTGTAACCCATAAAAGATAAATAGTGACCATGGAGTGTTAGCCCAGAATGTGGTGCAAGAAAGAGAAACTGTTAAATTTAATTGCTCTTAAACTATCCCTTGATCAGTCATAAATTTAGGATCCTTAAAAATGGAGTAGTCTAGCCTGTCCTTGCAAAGATGAGGTCAAAACTATTGTCTGTTGGCTTCTAGTTGTCTTCCTAAGCAGGAACTGTTTTTGCCAGCCTTTTCAATTATTGGGATCCTTATCAGACTTGCTTTATCTCGCTACAGTTTCCTTTTGGGCATGGTTACCTTATTGTATTGTCTCAGTCCTACTCAAATCATATCTGTCCTTGTCTTCCAGTATTGTTTTCTTCCTTTGAAATAGGGCTTGAATGTTTCTTGCTTACTATTCTGCTTTTTAGCCCTAGTGTATGAGGCAAATAATGGGTGTGAGCTGCTCTTTCATCTCTTCTGTGTCAGTCTTCTCTTTCAGGCAGAAGATAGTAGTGGAACTCTAGGTACCTAGTGGTAGTCCAGGTGCAGATGGCACTGGAAATTGCCTGCTTAAATTTGTAAGGGAACAACTTTCAGGGTTTTTGTTGTTGTTGTGATCTACTAGGGAAGCCAGAGAAAAAGGGGGCAACTCCCATGAAAGAAGTAACACATGAATAATTTGCTTCTAGCAGCACTTAATTTAGTAAAAATTGAAAATCGTGCCATGTATAATTAGGAAGGTTTTTTGTTTTGTTTGGTTGGTTGTTTTTTTTTTAATATTTGCAGTAAGATCTTGAGCTGCCCTGTGCCCTTAACATATCAATAGTTTGGGGATTAGTAGCCTTCTGTTGTACAGTTGTCTCCAGTAGTGCTGCAATATTCTCCTTTAACCTCACCACTTGTAGACCATAAATCCAGATATGATAGCTGTATTTTGAAATGATTTCATTTTGATTGTGCTGAATGTCGCTTGTCATTTAATCTGTTCTTTATGATTTTCGTTCACTGACTTTTATTGTTGGTAGTATTGCCATGAAGCACTTCTTCAGTCTTGTATAATGCACATTCATGAAGAGAACGTGGACTACAACTAACCTTTGATAAGGAACTTGCTGTCAGCTTCTGGGGCCAGTTACTTCATCATTTATGGGGTAGGGTACAGATTAAAACTTATTGTTGTTTTTTTTGTGGTGGTTTTTTTTTTTTCCCTCCTTGAAGTGGTGCACTGCTTACAAGAGGGATTTAGAGTTAAGTACCTGGGTCCTGTTCTACATTTTTGTCTTGATCTTTCTTTTTTTTAATGACTTTGAACAAGGTACTTAGCTTCTAGATGCCTTAGGTTTTGAGTACAACTACTTAAAGTTTTAGTTTAAGAAGCGTAACGGCTCTGTAAGTAAAAACACTGCAGCATTCTTCATTCTTTGAGTGAATATGGCTTTTGATTAACCATGTGGGACTGGCTCAAATGGAAGTAGTCTGCTAAGCTGCTGTGGAAGAACTCTCACCAATTTGTATTAGAGATAAAATGTTTTGTTTGTACAGCTCTGCAGGATCATGGTGCTGACTGGACTCTCTGAATAATTTAATGCTGTGGGTACTTGCAATACAACAAGGATTATATGTACAGTACTTCACAGCAGGGCCTACGGTGTTTAACTAATGCTTGTAGCATGCCTTAAGTCTCATGTGAAATATCCAAGAATTAATACAGCTATCTTTAAAGCCTTTTTTATTTCTAGTATGAGGAACTTCCAAAGTTGTCGTAGTCAAGTTATTTGCTTCACTGTGTTGTGAATAGTCTCATCTTTCCCCTATACCAGGAATCTTTCTTTTTTAATTTCCAATTAATCAAAACCTTTTCTCTCAACTTCTCAGTTCTTCTGGCTTTCTTTTTTTCTCCTTCATACCAACAAAAGAAACTTTGCAAGCAAAGCTGCTCTTTTTTCTCCTTTCTGCTTTTGTAATCTCCTAAGGCTGTGCAGCATATGCATCATGAGCCTCTTGGAGCCAGTGACTCCCCGCCTGATGGTTTTCGCTGAAACCTCTGAAACAAATCAATGCAGGATGGGGATGGAGAAAAGCAGAAGCTGGGGGGGGGAAATAAACGCGATTAAGCGAAGACATCTCATTACTACTCTAGAAAGGGAGGATTATAACTTATAAAATAGGAGGATCTCATTTAGGGGCCATGTGCGCCTGTGTTATCAGGACAGAGGGAGAGCAAATAGAATAAATGAAATTAATACTTTGAAAAGAAGCATTACCCGGATTTGAGAATTGAACTAATATGATTTGTGCAAAGCCCTGAAGTTCTTATCTCCCCATTTAATACCCCTAGGATAATGGCTTTGTCAGAGTTATTGACCAAAAGTCGTCGTCTTCCTTCCCCCTTTGAAAGAATGAATTCAGAAATGGGGTAATGGTAGGGCAAACTTTGCACTATTATTAGCTTTTTCAGACAAGACTGACGGGCATTGGTTGCTGTGTGAAAACAGGCTGGACACAGAATTCCTAAATCGCTGGGAAAATGTTTCTCCAGCTGTTGATTACGGACAGCTTACCATTCCTAGTGTTTCTAGTCGCACCTTGCCCACTGGCTTGCTGGATGGCAACGTTTGCTTTCTGGTGGCTCCAGCATTGCACTGTTGTGATTAGCATGGCCCAGAATATGAGTGTGGGAGGAAATACAAGGATTTAAGGTTTGTCCCATCTCTGGTTGCTCCAGTAACTGATTATAATTGGTCATAGGCTGTTGGATTCTTTTAAGATGATTTCTTGCCCAGAAGTAATCTCTTTGCTCTTCAGAGCCTCTCATCTCCTCTTGTTCATTCAGGAGAGAAGGGCTGAAGGAAGAATGCATGAC